ATAAAGTAGCAGGGTCATGATGCTGTCCTTCACAAACATATATAAAGTAGATCAGGGAATTTGGAAATTAGTTTATCCCCCCCCCCCCAAATTGTTGAATGATAAATAAATATGCCTTCGTCTAGCTGTTGGAAGTTCAGTCTGTCAGAGGCTGGAACTTCCTTCTGCTGCACAGGCCTAAAAAATCCATCTTGGGGCTGGAGAGATGGCTCAGAGATTAAGAGCACTGGCTGCTCTTCTAGAGGACCTGAGTTCAATTCCCAGCATCCATATGGTGGCTCACAACCATCCCTTACGAGATCTGGTGCCCTCTTCTGGTGTGCAGATATACATGGAAGCAGAATGTTGTATACATAATAAATAAAATAAAAAAAATCCATCTTGGTGTAACCTCTTGCTTCAGCTGACTCATACAACACAGAACACTCAGCAAATTTCATCTTAACTTGTTTAACTGTAAGCAGAACTCAACATGCAAGGTATATTTTTTCCTGTTTTGGTCTCCTATTGTTAGGAATTTCTTTCTATTTTGGTGTCCCCTCCAGCACCCACATAGTGGTTCTTAATACTGTGTGACTCTAGCTCCAGGGGATACAGTACCATCCTCTAGACTCCAGGGACACCAAGAACACATGCAAAAACATCCATACTCAAGAAATAAAATACACAAGTCTCAATGTGCATGTGAGTGACATTATTGCTCTAGTAAATACTATGGCATTAAAGGAAGTATTTCCTGACCCTGAAAGCAATAGCAGGCACCATGAGGTCCCACGGTTAATCAATTACTGTCTCTGTGTCATCACTTGAGAAGGACCACTGTGGCTTCTGTCTTAGCAGTCAAAGTGATCCTGATAATTGGGAGTATTTACTCTTGTGAATGGAGGCTTTCTTTATGACCTTGGACAAGGAAAACCATATCAAATTCAAAGGTTGATTTTTATAATTCTGAATCTTCAGAGGAGTATTCCTGACATGTATGTCTATTTTATTCATCCATGAGGAAGTGTATCCATTGCTGGTGTGTTTTATTTCTCTTGGCAGTAAATAGATACATTGGAACATGAAGTGTGAGATAGTCATGGGTCTTTGCCTCATCCCTTGTCACTGCTGTTTCCTATTAAGTCCTGTGTGTGGTTCCTGTGCTTGAATATTCTTGGGTCCTGCTCCTACTTTGAAGTCCTGAATTTGTTGTTTAGGGTATGAATTTGGGATGTACAGAACAACTGAAAGCACCACTTTATGGAAATGGCAGGTGGGGGATACTGTATGTGAGGAAGGGAGTGGGTGCCCCTAAAATCTGAGAGCATGTAGTTTGTTTTTGTTTTTGTTTTTGTTTTTCAAGACAGGGTTTCTCTGTGGCTTTGGAGGCTGTCCTGGAACTAGCTCTTGTAGACCAGGCTGGTCTAGAACTCACAGAGATCGCCTGCCTCTGCCTCTTGAGTGCTGGGACTAAAGGCGTGCACCACCAACGCCCGGCTGTTAAAACATCTTAAATACCATATTCTGTAAATTTTTAAGTATTTAAAGATGACTTTTCTATCTAAAATATATCTCTGTTTGACCTTGAAAACATATCTAATGTTGACTACTAGTTTGATTCTAATAGGTGAGTAATTGGTAACCTGCATTTGCTTATTATCCTAAATAGTTGGTAACAGTAACTTTCAAGGGCTAAAATTTGCATTAAATTGTTAAGGGAGTTGCATAGGTACAATACCTTGAACAAAATTAGAAATGCTTGTATAATATGTTCTAACAAAAAAAGATCTCAATTTTGTTTTTAAGAGGTAACTTTTTTTTTAAGATTTTATTTATTTATTTATTATGTATACAACATTCTGCTTCCATGTATATATGCACACCGGAAGAGGGCACCAGATCTCATTACAGATGGTTGTGAGCCACCATGTGGTTGCTGGGAATTGAACTCAGGACTTCTGGAAGAATAGTCAGTGCTCTTAACCTCTGAGCCATCTCTCCAGCCCCCAATTTTGAATCAATATGCAAAATATCCAAGCCATTGTAAAAATATTTAAAGTTAATAAGTACATTTTTGTTAAAAGTAGATTCAATAATCTACTTTTTTTATTTGTATATTCCCCTTTTTTTCTTTTTAGAGTAGATTTAATAATCCACCCTGATATCATATCTATATCCCCTTCTTTTTTCAAAAGAACTCTGAATGTAATCCCTTTATTCAACATTTTTCCTGACCATTATCAATAACAACTTGTAATCAACCATCCAAAACAAAGTTAATTATCCATAGGTCATTGAAAGACCAACCCCCCTAACCTCCCACCCCAATTGGGAATGTGGGTATTAATATTGTTAAATTTACTGCTATCTGTGGGTGATGGCATCTTTTTTTTTAAGATTTTATTTATTTATTATGTATACAACATTCTGCTTCCATGTATATCTGCACACCCAAAGAGGGCACCAGATCTCATAACGGATGGTTGTGAGCCACCATGTGGTTGCTGGGAATTGAACTCAGGACCTCTGGAAGAGCAGTCGGTGTTCTTAACCTCTGAGCCATCTCTCCAGCCCCTGGTGATGGAATCTTTAGAGGGATTCTGAAAAGGAAAATTTGGGTTAATTGTCAATTCCTGGAAGAGGTAGCTGTATCATTTGTTGTCCAGTCTCTGAGTAATGGGAAAGTACAGGGAATTGTCTCAATTCTTGACTCAAGTAGTCTGTGAGGTTAAATCTTCTCAGCCTCCTTGAGATTGTTCTGATCAGTTAGTAGTCAAAGCTGATCTTTAGGTGGTATTTTTTAGCTTAGTGGTAATATCATAATCCTGATGGGGTCGTTGGGGGGCCCCATCATCATTTTGGAGACTTGAAAGGTCGCTGTTAGACATCGTCATGGTTCACTGAAGAAAACTTAAGCATTTTAAATGTCATATGCAGCAGAGTTTAAAGGATCAATATTTGTTATGTACACCCAGAGTACAAAACTTAATTCCTAGTTGCCTAATAGAGAATCAAACCCTAAATCATGTACAGGAGGCTAGATGAAGCCTTTTTCTAGAATGAATACTTAATGACCCCTAATATCATGACAAAAAATTAAAAAATGTATATATACATATTATATATTTTAGATAATATTTATAACTCAAGAAAAGCTTCAAAGACTCAAAACAGAACCAAAGGATTATGACATTAGTGGCAATAAAATATTCCTTTAATATTTGTTTTTCTCTGTCCCATATCAGGTGGCTTCTTTGACATGAAACAGAGATTTGGTTTTACTTTAACAGGCATGCTTGGGTTTAGAGAAGGAAAGAGCCACATTCCCCTCCAAAGACAGCTTTAATTTTTTACTTGGACTGGGATTTCAAAAAGATGATTTACATTTTTATGTCTGTAGAGAAAAACAGAGGAAACATATGGGCAATGTATGAAATTTTATCTTCTTGTTGATGGGATATATAAGTAGGCCAATTTACTCTTTTTCTTGAGACATGTTTTCTCGATTTGTGCTTTTCCTGAGACATCTCATCGTCTTCAGATTCTTATCTGGATGCCTTCATTCTCCTGAAAAGCCAACAACAAAACTCTTCTCCACCCTTAATTTTGGGAAGGTTCTCTTATGGCAAGTTATATCTGATCAAATGAAAAGTATATCTTAGTTTTAAAGTTAGTTTAGATTGAATGGCCATGCTATTGAATGAACTCTCAACTCTTTTATTCAAGGGTGTCTCCTGTTCAAATCTAATCTATCAATTTTGATGGTATCTGTAGCAATTCTTCTCCCATGGAAGGAAAGGCAAACCCCTTCCCCAATGTAACACATGTCCTGGCTTCCATTTTAAGCTCAGCACATCTTTAAAGTATACAGGCTGATTTATTCCTTACTTTTTTCTTTCATCCAATGTCTCTCCACAGCTGTTGTTCCTTTCTCATTAGCATTCAGAAAATTCAAGTTAATAATCATTATGCAATCTATTTCTAGGGTCTTTATTACCCCTTTCTGTTTATTTAACATGTCCTTTAGAGTTTAATCTGGTCTTTCTATAGCAGCTTAACCTGTAGGATTGTGTGATATACCTGTGATATGCTTTATATTACAATAATGAATAAACAGTTTTATTTTACTAGAAACATAATGCTGGAATAATGTCAGTCTTAATTTGTACACTTATCCAATGATGGTCATAACTTCTAACAAATGTGTGATTACAGAATCGGCCTTTTCAGAACTCAAAGTATTGCCCTTTGAAATCCTGAGTAGGTGTCAATGGCATGGTGTACATATTTTAATTTTCCAAATTCTACAAAATGAAACACATCCCTCTGCCTGATTTCATTCCTTTGAGTACCCTTTGGCTTACTTCCTGCTGGTAGTGGAGTTTGGTTGTATAAAGAACAGTGGATATTTTTCGTATGCTTTCCTCCACTTGTTGCCAAGTGATGAAAAAGAAATCCAGAAAACTGACTGTAGGCAGAAGGAGTTTACTTCATATCACAATTGAAGAGTATGTGCCATTCACAAATGCAGAACTGTGAAGCTGCTAGTCAACAGTGCGCACTATCAGGAAGACAGTAATGTGTAGTTGTATATGTCTTAGGTTTGCCTTTCCACTAGCACAAGTCCTATAAAGTTCACAAAATGTTGCCTCTCAAGTTGGAGTGTGTATTACTTTGAATATGTTTCAGTTATATGCCTATTTGCTTCCCACCTGAAAATCATTGAATAACCTCTGAAAGTGTAAGCAATGTCCTCCAAAATGCTTTCTTTTATATTAGTTGATTGTCATGATGTTTAAGGGCAGTTGAGTAATAATTGAGACAATGGGGCTCCTTTATTACATCAGGTAATCAAGATAGCATCCCACAGATATTCTTCAGTTACTGCTATTCACATGATAATTTAGAGGTGCCTTTAGGATTAAAATATGCTAGATGATTCTGTATCCTATCAGTCTGTCAGTTAAAACTAACCACCCTAATATATACACCCTTAGGAGAAAGTGGCCTTTGAGGATATGGTTGTGAACTTCACCTCAGGAGAGTGGGCTTTGTTGGATTCAAGTCAGAAGAAGCTCTACAGAGATGTGATGAAGGAGACATTTTTGAACCTGATCTCCATAGGTAAAATCCCAACATGTTCCCATTGTTTATTTAATCAGAGAACATCCATGTCTTGTGTATGTGTGCACTGTTGGTATTTGGATTCTTGAAGGTAATATGTGGTAAATATAGTACGATAACCCATGTCAAAAAGTGAGGTATAATGCTTTTTATGTTGAATATGAATATGTCATACTGTTTTCTCTGGATTTTCTTCTAGAAGAAGCAATAGAAGAAAATATTGGAGAGAACTGCAAAGACCTCAGCAGAAACACACGGTAATTGATATTCAAAAGAAAGGAATTGATTTCACATATTTGCAAATCATGGGACAACTGAGAGCCTACCAAAATATCTAAAGAAAATTAACTGAATAATGATCTCTACACAAATTTCTGTAGTAGAGCATTGAATTGTGCCATTCAATATTTGAGTATCTCATGTTTGTAATACATTAAGTTCACACATGTGTCATGTAACATTAGCCTCTGAAAGAGCTTCATCAGTGGTTTATTACACACAAACTTCACACAAACTTCAAAAGTATTTGCCGTCTTTCTATACATCATTTTGAGGCTGTGAAATATGTGCTGTGATGTTTTGCTTTCATTTGCTATGACAATAAAAAAACACCTCTGGGGTGGAGCACATTTTTCCTTACACATTCTTGTCACAGTCCCATCATAAAAGGGAGTCAGGATAGGAACTCAAGGCAGTTAAAAACCTGTAGGCAGGAACTGAAGCAGAGGTGATGGAGAAATGCTGTTTACCTGTGTGCTCCTCATCTCTTACTCAGCTGCCTGTCTTATAAACCCACAGTGGGCTGATCAATCACTGATCAAGAAAATGCCCTCACAGACAAGCCTAATGTCACCTGAAAAAGCCATTGACTCCTTTTTGGTTCCCTCTTCTCAGACGTGTGTCCCCGTTTGTGTCAGCTTGACCAAAGTAACCAACAGGTGCCTTTTCTACACAGCTCGTGCTCTCTTGCCCATGGCCACAATGCATATCATAGTGTGAGCATCCTTCATCAATCAGGAATGTAAAATTCTCCCTCAGAATCATTTACAAGCCAATCTGAGTCATTTTGTCCTTTGAGAGAACCCATTCTCTGATGGTCCTAGGTATATGCAGTTGATAATTAAGGAACCAACACTCACTTGAATTCTGAATGTCATATGCCACAGTGTTTCATCACTTCATTTCACTGTAACAATCTACTAACACAAGAACTTTTGCCTTCATGTTCAATCCTTTTATGCATAACTAATTGTTCTGTACCTGTATATGTGTATCTATGTTTGCATATTACTCTTGTGCTAAAACCCTTTTTATTTTTATTTTATTATTTTAAAGATTTTTATTGATTTATTATATATACAGTTATCTGCAGGCATGCTTGCACACCAGAAGAGGGCACCAGATCTCATTACAGATGGTTGTGAGCCACCATGTGGTTGCTGGGAATTGAACTCGGGTCCTCTGGGAAAGCAGTCAGTGCTCTTAACCGCTGAGCCATCTCTCCAGCCCCCTGAAAAGCAGAATTTTTTTAACCTCCAAATCTGTGATACAACTTCATAATTCTAATAGAAGTAAAGTCAACACTCTGCTTCTTTACAAATGACAGGGTCTTTTCATGTGGTCTACATTGACCTTCACAGTGACCATGTTCTTGTGGTGCCTATAGGATAATATAATTTGATGGTACACAAACCAGACTCCAACATTTCCCTTGGGTACAGTAATTCTCTTCTCACTTTTGCAGATCTCAAGCAATTGATAAATACTATATATGTACATGTGATCATGAGTGTAATAAAAACGGGAAATCTATTACAGAGAATATCATCAGTAAAGACATGCATCCTGGAGAAAGAGTATGTCAAAGCCCATTGCATGTAAGAAACATCATTGGTCATTCATCCCCACATGGGTATCTCAGAGAGCAAACTACAGGGATACCATCTGTTTGGAGGAAAGCCATGGCCAAAGCTTTTACACATCAGGAACATTGGAAAGACATCCATCATTCTGAATCACTGCAGGTACTTGAGACATCTCCCCAGGAGAAACCCTGTGAAAGTCAAGAATATAAGGAAGCCTGTAGGAGTCTCAGTTTGGATCAGCCTCAGGAGAGAGCTCACCCTGGAGTTACACTCAATGAAAATGAGGTAACAGGATACACATTTGTTCAGAACAATGAAGGAATCCATAAAGAAGTGAAACAGTTTGTATGTAAGCTCTGTGAAGAATCCTTCATTGAGTCCAGTGACCTTTACAACCATGAAAATAGTCATATTGGACAGAAAAGGTACAATTGCAGGCAATGTGGCAAAACATTTAAATGCGCAAAATATTTTGAGAATCATAAAGTAAGTCATACAAAAGAGACGCTTTATGCTTGTAAGAATTGTCAAAAAACCTTTACATGCTCCAGTCATCTGAAGGAACATCTACGGATTCACACTGGACAGAAGCCTTATGCTTGTAGGCATTGTGGGAAAGCATTTACCACCTCCAGTAATCTGAAAGTTCATGAAAGGGTTCACACTGCAGTGAAGCCTTATGCATGTAAGCACTCTGGAAAAGCCTTCAGCCAGTCCAGTAATCATAAGACTCATGAAAGGACTCACACTGGACAGAAGCCTTATACTGTAGGCATTGTGGGAAAGCCTTCAGTGACTTCAGTAGTCTGAAGAATCATGAAAGAAAGTACACTGGAGAGAAGCCTTATGCATGTAAGCATTGTGGAAAACCCTTCAGCCTGTCCAGGAGTCTTAAGATACATGAAAGGATTCACACTGGAGTGAAGCCTTATTCATGCAGGCATTGTGGAAAACTCTTCAGTGACTCGAGTAGTCATAAGAGACATGAGAGAAAGCACACTGGAGAGAAGCCTTATGCATGCAGGCATTGTGGGAAAGCCTTCACCCGGCCCAGTAGTCAAAAGAGACATGAAAGAAATCACGCTAGATAGAAGCATTATGTATGTAAACATTATGAAAAATCCTTTGCCCCATTTACATCCAGAGTTGAATGAAAAAAGTCATGGGATAGAAACAAATTTTGTGTAAAACATGTGGGAAACTATTCATTCAGTCTAGTGATCTTTACAATTGTGAAAAAGTTCACTCAAAAGACAGACATTATTCATGTAAGCATTTTACAAAAGCTTCGGTGACTCCAGTAGTCCCCACAGACATGGAAGTGTCGCACCGGAGAGAAGTCTTATTATTTTAAGCAGTGTTGAGAAGCTTTCAGCCACTTTGGTGGTAATAGCAGACATGATGTGCTTCACTCTAGTTAGCCTAATGCTTGGTAGCATTGTGGAAAAGCCCTCAATAGTTCCAATTGGCACAAGAGCACTAAAAATGTTCACGTTGGATAGAAAGCCTTTCTTTGTAAGTATCTGGGAAACCATTTCTTTGCTCTTGAGATTTTATCAAGGATAAAAGACCTCACACTTGTGAAGAACCTTTTCAATATCCGCATTGTGGAAAAGCTTTGGACACTTCATGTTTTGTAACCCTCATTCAAGAACTTACATCAGAAAGGAGTTTAATGTAAGTATGCATCTAAGTATTGTGCCAAAGGCTTCACCAGTTTCTGTTGCCAGGATGTTCTCAAGAATCCATCCTAAAGGCAGGCCTTACATGGGTATCCATTTGCAAAATGCTTTAGCAGCAATTGTTTCTCTTATACTCAAAAATTTATTTCATGGTGAAAACCTTTATGTTTGGAATAAATGTGGGAAAGTATTCAAAGTATTTAGGATAAATTAATTTTAAAGTATTTTAATTTTCAGCAGAGTTTTCCCAAATTTGTGTTCTGCATCCCTGGATAATGATCTCACAGTGAAAAGTGTAGTGTGTAGAATTTGCACTACCATTGTGTGACACTGTTGGTCAAATTGTTTCATTGTGAGGTTTGAAAGGTGAATGAGATTGGACCGTGAGATGCATCAGCTAGCAATGGTTTAGTGCCAGAAAATGTGATTCTCTCAGGTACCTTCCTGGATTGTATATGTTGGCGATAGAGAGCCAATTCCTGAAAGTGGTGTTCTTACAGTCATATACAAACTTCCAAATGAATACACACACAGAAATATAAATGAGTAAATAATAATATGTTTTTGAGAGTGGATACTTAACTAAAAAATACAATATTTTTAAAAAGATTTTATTTATTTATTTATTTATTATGTATACAACATTCTGCTTCCATGTGTATCGGCACACCAGAAGAGGGCACCAGATCTCATAACGGATGGTTGTGAGCCACCATGTGGTTGCTGGGAATTGAACTCAGGACCCCTGGAAGAGCAGTCAGTGCTCTTAACCTCAGCCATTTCTCCAGCCCAAAATACAATATTTTAATGTAGAAAGAAACAATATTAGACCCAATATTTTACTATATGAAAGATGAAATCATTACAATACATGCAATAATTCCTGATTTGGCTCTTTGTTTGGCTGGTTTTGTTTATTCTTTGGTTTTTACTTTGTCTAGCGTAGTAGCTTTGAAAACAATTGTAGTAGTGTTTCTCTTGAGAATGGCTCAATATGATTCTTGAAACTTGGTCCCATTGGTGGACAGGTTAAGGATTAATAAGAGGTATGGATTTGGGTCAATATATCTCCCCAGAGGCAAGTTTGAGATTTGAAAATAAAACCCACTAATATTCATAGTATATTCTCCCTGCTTCCTGATTGTAAATTATCATACGAGCTTATAGTTGTTTCAGGCAGCACACGTTTGCTCTACCATCACAGGCTCCAAGTTTCTGTAACTACAGGGCCCGTATAACACTTCCATTTAAAAGTTGCTTTGCCTATTGAATTTTGTTGCAGCTATAGAAAACAAACTCATAAACACCTTGGGGCTTTCAGAACCAAAACCAGTCAAAAGAAACTTTCATTGAAAAACTGTGAAAAAGCTGGTAGTCATTGTTCTGTCTGCATGTTGCCTTTATGCCAGAAGAGGGCACCAGATCTCTTTACAGATGGTTGGGAGCCACCATGTGGTTGCTGGGATGTGAACTCATGATCTCTGAAAGAAGCAGCCAGTGCTCTTAACCTCTGAGCCATCTCTCCAGCCTGCTGGTTGTCATTTTAAATGAGATAAAATTTGTGAAACTTTTTCATTTACTTGGATCTCATGTCAGCAATAAATTAAATACTTTCTGGAATGTATTCCAAAAATTTAGAATCAGTTTGAAAGAAGTAATTTCTAACTTTGAGCATATTTATTATAAGTCCATTCCTAAACAGGAGATTTACTTTGCATTATGTATTTATTAGGATGGCGAGACGTGGTTCCTGTGGTTACTTCAGGTTATCTTCTCACATCTGAAGTTTTGGAATGCAAATGAGAGGGACAGATTTATCTTTCTGAGTCTGAGTTAATGTGCTTGTCTACTGGTTGACCTATCTACCGTTTCCTCTTTAAGATTCCTGTGGTCCAGAATAGTGTTCCATTGGTAACTGGGGACCAGGCTAGAGAGGGGACTAGCTGCAAGTGCCCTGAGAGGGGGGAAAGTGAAAATTGTGGAGGAGCTGAGTTCTTTCTTTTTTTTTTTTTTCGAGACAGGGTTTCTTTGTATTGTTTTGGAGGCTGTCCTGGAACTTGCTCTGTAGACCAGGCAGGCCTCGAACTCACAGAGATCCGCCTGCCTCTGCCTCCTGAGTGCTGGGATTAAAGGCGTGCGCCACCAATGCCCAGCTGGAGCTGAGTTCTAATGTGGGATTAAATGATGACAGTCAATACAGGAGAGAGAGGAAGAAGCAATACCAATGTTTGGTAATGGTAAAGAAGTGTTTATTGTGTAAACACCAAAAATTTTAAATCATGCAAAGTCTATTACATTTAATATGTATTATATTTTGTCATTTTGATGATATATATATAATCACATAATATGTAAGTGTGAATACAGGAATATGTACATACTCGCAGATATATGCACTTAATATATATGTATGAGTGTGTATTTGTATATCTATATTAAATGTAGCTATATCACTTAGCTTGGCAGCCCCTACTTCCAAAACCATACATTAGGGCTGGAGAGATGGCTCAGGGGTTAAGAGCACTGACTGCTCTTCCAGAGGTCCTGAGTTCAATTCCCAGCAACCACATGGTGGCTCACAACCATCTGTAATGTGATCTGGTGCCCTCTTCTGGCATGCAATGTATACATAATAAATAAATAAATCTTTAAAAAAAACAACCATACATTAATAAAAATAATAGTATAAGGCATGAGAAGTCTGTATTTGAGTTGTGATAGTCTATGTAATTCCCCAAATAATTTAGGGTCCTATTCTTTCCTTTAGTCATCTCTGAAAGGTTGAGTTAAGGTATATTTTCTGGAACCCTTGAAAAATTTGGATAGAACACTTGGAGCAGTTGGGCTGCATCTAACACGGAAACCACCTTCATTTAATCTAACTGCCAATATAATACGTACATTGCAAGTTGCTGAGTCAGAGAATCAGTCCATAGAGACTTCCCAAGCTGTGACATACGTAGTTGTTTGAATGAGAGCGGCTCCATCAATACACAATACAAGCTGGTGGTATCTTCTAATTTCTTCTACGTGGAAAGGTTTGTCCAACAACTTGAACCCAAGCAGTTATTTGTGTGCAAGGAGGGATTTGGGGGGGGCTGGTTTTATAAGAATGTTAGTTAATCCAGAGCCAGTAATCAGATTCTTCTGTAGGTCTTGCCATGGTTTCCTTCAGTGATGCTTTGTGATCAGGAAGTATAAGTCAAATTAACCCTTTCTTTGTCTCAGTTGCTTTTGGTCATGGTACTCATCACTGCAACAAAAACCATAGTAAAACACGTAGAATGTCACAGAAATACACTTCATGGAATAATTTTCAGTGCTATTGTGGGCCCGTTTGAAAAGCCATCAGGTACCAATTGTTTGAAGTTGATACATATCAAAGTGGTATTACAAGGTAAATTTCTTTTCTTCTACTTTCCTCTTGAATTTTGAGGAGAGAAGGTTTAGATTTGGATACTTTCTATTTTATTTTTAAAAATCATTTATTATGTATATAGTGTTGTGCCTAATTGGTGGCCTGTCTACCTGTTCTGTCCTCTTTAAAGACATATTTTTTGAAGCTTTGATCTTGTCCAAGTTGACAAGAAAATTTTAAATACCAAGCTGGTGGTATCTGCTCAGGCTGCTTTAAGTCTTACCAATATTCACCTTAGGCTTTTTATCTTTGACATCCAAGGTTTACCTCTTAGATTGTAGTAATATCCTTAATTTTAAAAAGTTTAGGAGAGGTTACCTTATATGCCCTTCCCCTTTAATGAGATTGATGAGTACTTTGAATGCCATCACAGTGCATTCATCCATTAGCTGATGGAAGCAGAAGAAGAGATTCACAGCTAAGCACTGAACCGAACTATTGGAATCCAGTTGTAGAGAGGGAGGAGTGATGAGCAAAGACCATGCTGGGGAAACCCACAGAAACAGCTGACTGAGCAAGTGGGAGCTCATGGACACCAGTCTGACAGCTGGGGAACCAGCATAACACCTTACCATGCCCCCTGATCATGGGTGTCAGTTGCAGGGCTTGGGTAGTACATGGGGCTTCTGGCAGTGGAGCCAGTATTTATCCCTAGTGCAGGAATGTGCTTTAGGAGCCCATTTCCGCTGGAGGGACACTCACAGCCAAGATATACAGGGGAGGGCCTTGGTCCTGCTAGAAGTGATGTGACTGACTGATGATCCCCCATGGGAGGCCTCCCCCTCCCTGAGGAGGGGGTAGGGATGGGATCCAGAGATACTGGGCAGAATGGGAGGACAGGAGGGAGAGGGACCTGGGATTGCTATGTGAAATAAGGTTGTTTCTAATTTAAATACAAATTAATTTTTTTTATTTTTTAAAGATTTTTATTTATTTATTATGTTTAAAGTCTTTCGCCTGCATGCCAGCAGAGGGCACCAGATGTCATTCAAGGTGGTTTTGAGTCACCATGTGGTTGCTGGGAATTGAACTCCGGACCTCTGGAAGAACAGTCAGTGCTCTTAACCGCTGAGCCATCTCTCCAGCCCACAAATTAATTTTTAAAAGTTTAGATAATGGGTTGCTAATGCCAGTCCACAGCCTAATATGAAAATTGGTATATTTTTGTTTTTAAAATAGTCTTCATGATACCTAAGTATATATTTATTGTTTGCATATCATTGTGTCATTATATTTTATCCATTGTAAAATTTGACCTATATTTAAGTTCTCTTTTACTTAAAGTTTCAAGTTGGCCTATCTTTTATTACATATTGTAGTTAGAGTTTCTTTCCATAAAAGTCATTTAAAACATGAGTAAATGTTTAGTTTCTCATCATCTCAGCTCTATTTCTATATGAAATCTAAAATGCAATTTTGTACATAGAACACAGTAGCTTCTATGCCAGGGTACAAATTGATTTTCTTTTTTTATTTATTTGAATTAGAAACAAGCTCCTTTTACATGTCAATTTCAGTTCCCTCTCCCTCCCCGCTTCCCCTGCCTCCCCCCCATCCCAACCCCTTTCTGCTCCCCAGGGAGGGCTAGGCCTTCCATGGGGAATCTT